TTTTTGTCCGACCAACAGTCCAAAAGCGAAGACATTTAGATAACTGTGATCAGGGTTGCAGCTGCACACTTTTGAAACTATGTATCTTGGTATTAAAATTGACAGTTATCACACCATTTGTATTTGCTATCTATGGTCTTTTTAAACTGAAGTGTGTCCTCAACTGCCTGTCAGACTTTTTGTGCTTCGATCAACACAAATAGTTTTTAGTTTCAGATATCATAAAACATTTGTTCAACCAAACAGTTCTTTTGTTTGCACTCTTTTAAAGTTCATTATAATTGATGATAATTATAATAATAATAATTTTCTACTGTGATCACACAATATTTTCTGAGACGAGTTATCGTACCTGACAATCTCACACTGTTGAAGCTCTGACTCTGGAAGAGAACAATGTGAATGTTTGACATGTGGGGCTGAGCAGTGATGTACATTATTCATCAATAACCAGAGAGGTTGTCAATTGATTTTCTATTGAATTATTGGTTAATATAACTTTAGCATTATTACTAACAGTGGCCTATTTCCCACAGAATGAGATTTTATGTGTGGCGGTAACTGCTTTGAGTCACAGGCTGGATAACTGATCAGTCAACAGACTGTTTATGAGTGACAGCAAACTTTTAGAAATGACACAGTGAACGGATACGTTTCACTTTCACCGTGCCTGCCCAAAGTAGGCCTACGCTCTGCACTGCAAGAGTCTGTTCATTTACATGACATCAGAGAAAATGGATTTAGGCCTACTGTGTCAGTCAGACTAAAACCAGACTTTTAAAATCCATCAATCAGACCCAAACTGTCCGAGGCGCTCTGAGCATGCTCCACAGTTTCCACAGTGGGAGCCAAAGTTGTCCACCATGGTAGCAGTTAGCTGCTAGCTAACTGTAGCTAACTTGTTTGTCCATTGTTTGGTCTGTGACGTAATAGGTCAACAGGAAAAAGGTCCAATACTAACAAGCTGAAAGGGGGCATATCTCCACCTATCGTAGAGGAGACGCACATACTTGGCTCAATAAATGGATTCCCCTCACGTGCTTGTATACTGGGACAAGGACAGTAGGCCAGTTAGATGTCCTCGTCCAGCTGGAACTGGAGCTCCACTTGACTGAGTGTGGTGCATTGAATAACCAAATGGTGTATATTCCAACAGCGCTCCGAATGAACCGTCCAGCTCCAAAAATAGAAAATCAAAATGTGGCGGGCTGCCTTGATGAAATGAACGTGTGGGAAACCCTGACTTGGTCAGTAATAAATATCCAAAGTCTAAAGTGAACTTTGGTGCTTAACCTTTAAGCCAACATGAACGAGAAGTCATGGCAGCTATTGAGCTTTAAAGTCAACATATCTGTCGCCATGACAACAGAGTAAACTCCATCTGCTGATGGAGACCATGTGGTGAAAGCTCTGGAAACAGCCAGCGACCCTGACCTTGAGTGGGGACTGGGATTTCAAATTTCAGCACTGGTTTTAACAGAAGTGTGACAAATGAGGGGATTTTATTCACTGAGAGTATTCAACACACACACACACACACACACACACACACACAGTTTCACTTTAGTTTTTATAAATGAGTCTGTTCACTTGTGTCTGTCCTGTCAGTCCCTCTACAGAATGATCACACTCACAGAGACGAGACACAGACACAGGGATTTACTCAGTGTTTGTGTTTGAAGGATTCAACCTCTCACCGTCGTCTGTCCCTGTAACCTGAGCTGACCGACTGTGAGCATGAAAATAACCCAAACATGATCCTGAGCACACCTGACAACAACACGCACACACACACACACACATGCACACAGAGACACACATGATGACACTGCAGACTGTTTGTTTTAACTAACCCAACACCTCAGCCCTAAACTTAAACTGCAGCTCTACATGAGCGCTTAAGATAGAGTAAATCAAACCGTGGGTAACCATAGCAACGGTGCTGATGTTGACAGTTAACTGACAGATAAAACCAACCTGATCAGGGTGAAAATACACACGTTAAAACATGGAGTAAGAAGAAAACTTGACCCTGACCCTGTCACTATCTGACACTGCAAACTGTCTCTGAACTACAGAATCATCTTTAATATAAACTGACGTATCATGTTGTAATAAAACTAAAGAGGAAACATTATTGATACATAAGGAATATTAGATTAGATTAGATTAGATTAGATTAGACTAGATTAGATTAGACATCATTGTCTCCCTTAGGATAAATTAGTCATGGACATTTGAGAGGTCATTAAGGTCATATGCAAAATTACTGCACAGATTATTATTACTCTTCTTGCATTTATGTTTAATACACAATTTACATATCTGTACATATTTCTTATACAACATATCTCTTCTTTCTGTATATATTTATATGTATATATTGTGTAATATATGATGTCATAATGCACATTTCTTTCCTCTACGCCTACGAGCGGTACCAGAACAATGTGTCCCAGTTTGTCCTCGGGATCAAAGTGCTCTGAGTTGACTGGAAAACTGTAAAAATATAAAAACCGTCAACTTTACATTTGACTAAATGGACTAAATAATTAATAACTGACACTGACTGTTAATATGTACAGTGTATTACTGGGTGCCATGTGGTATGATATGTATTTAATATAGCGGGAGGGTCTGGTCCTGGTTTTATTCAGTTTGTTGTATCGACAATACTGTGCTTTATATATGTTTGTGTGTTCGAGGGCTGCAGCTAGATTAGTTTCATCATAATATAATCTATCGATTATCTCAAGGTGATTAAATCAAACGCAACTGGACTTAGTTTTGTCTTAGAAGAAGTTTCACCTCTTACCCAACAGGCTTCATCAGTTCATGCTTGTCTGACTAGACTGGAACTAGTCTCCCTTCTGTGTTGGGCCATGTGTTTGTTTAGTGGTTGTTTTGTTTCACCAGTGTACAAGTCTGGGCATTCCTCACTGCACTGGACAGCGAACACCAGGCTGCTCTTCTGAGTGTGTGGTGTATGTACACTCTATGACTCCAACGACCACCGGTGCAGCAGGAGTTTCAACGACCATCGTTGACACACCATTGGAGCAATAACCAACCAATGACATCATTGGCCTTGTGAAGACCTCCTCAGAGGTTAAATACCTGGGTTTTTCCACACCAGTTTGTCAGACTAGTTCCAGCCTAGTCAGACAAGTATGAACTGATGAAGCCTCTTGGATAAGAGGTGAAACGTCTTCTAAGACAAAACAAAGTCCACTTGTGTTCGATTCAATTGCCTTGAGATAACTATGACCTGGATAAATGAGAATATCCACAGGCAATCTATTGATTAGTTACTTGATTTATTATGTAATCAGAACATTTCCTGATGCTGGTGGTGACGTTCTGTTGTCTGCTGAATGTCCTGTTCTGTCCGACCAACAGTCCCGAACCCCCTAAAATATTTTATTTACGATAAAAACCAGCGAATTCACAGATGTTAGAACGTGGACGCATCAAATATTTGGCTTTTTTTTTTAGCATGAAAAAAAATATTTAAAGCTCCAGTGTGTAGGAATTAAGGTGATACTGTCAGAAATGGAATATAATATAAGTCTGTTTTCTTTAGTGTTTAATCACCTGAAAATAAGAATCGTTGTGTTTCTGTTACTTTAGAATGAGCTGTTTATATCTACACAGGGAGCGGGTCCTCATCTACAGAGATCACCATGTTGCACTGCCATGTTTCTACAGTAGCCCAGAAAGGACAAACCAAACGCTGACTCTAGATAGAGACATTCATGTTTTTGTGTTGGACGCCCCTCCAAGACAAGAGGGTTGCAAAAACACTATTTTTTTCACCAGGAAACTGCTTTATTCAATGTTTTTACTGATTTAAAACGGCCTCCAGTTATTCTGCCTCTAACCTCCTGAACGTCTGGATCAGAAAAGAAGGTGAGCATACATTAGCAGGTGCTATAGGCTACCGGCCCATGACTGACATGCCAAACAGCGTCAGCAAAATGACATGAAACCAGTTAATTCAGTTTAAATCAGCTGATCTGTTTGTTTTAGAGAGGAAGAGACCTCTGAGGATAATTCAGCTCCTGAACAATGAACTCTGAAGGAATTCTAACCGGGAGAAGTTTCAGCTGGTTACAATCTGCAATCGTCACCGCTACAAGCCACTACATTTTTTTCAATCTATTAGCGTGTGGTTCTTTGGGTGTCCAATTGTACATGCGCATATATGATTGAATAAAATACTACTACTAAAATTCCCTTAAATCTGACACACTGGACCTTTAATATTCTGCTAATCAACTGATTAACCGTCTGGTAACTGCAGCTGTGCCTTGACCTGTGGATATTCCACAGTTACATCATGATTCAGTGTATTTATATCGTCTTTAATATCACCATGTAATATACTCACATTAGTAAATACCAGTGTGTTCCTGTTGTGGCTTTAAAGCACCTGATCTGCATCATATTTTACTTTATCAGCTCTATAAGTGTCTCATATTATAATTAATATTTAGTTATTTATATACCACTATGATCTTACAGCCATAAAAATATTCTGGTTTAGATGGTTAGATGGTTTGTATCTTATCACCTGGGCGACACTGTAAACTTTTTGATCTGTTTTGTAAAGACAAGAACTTTATCATCTGTGTTTCTATGGTGAGTGTATCCCATAATATCCTCTACAGTGGCACTGTAATATCCCGACAGTGACCCACAGACTCTCCACATGCACCCTCTCATTGTCCTGCAGTGCTTATATAATAGGATTACAGCTTTACCGTGCAGGTCTGTGACGTGTCTGCAGATGTGATGCTGCATTAAATGTTTGTCAGTGCGCTCAGTTGCATCTGTGGACTGTGAGTCCTTCGTTTAGAAGCCAGATGTGAGATGTGACATTAGGCCTCAGCAGCAGCAGCAGCAGCAGCAGCAGGACTGATCCTAGACCTGTGGTCCCAGGTCCCAGCAGCCTGATCCGGATCACACTCTCACACTCAGTAAAGCTGTCAGCTGATTACCTGTCCGCGGGTTCCCTCCGGATCCACACCAGCAGCGAGCTTCTCTCCGGTTTGATCCGTCTGTGTCGGAGCGCAGTCCGGCAGGTCGGTGGGTTCACTGTCGGTGGAGTTTACAGGATCATGGTGGAGCAAAGTAACGGTGACCGAATCCGTCCGACGCGTCACGGTCCGCCTCTGAGATCCTCTTCGGAGAGTTTTCCTTCAACAAAGTGTTGGAACAAGAAGAAGAAGAAGAAGAAGAAGAAGAAGAAGAGGAGCTGCACACTCCACAGAGACGGGGACGAAAAAAACTTTCTGTGTATTTACATCACATCCCGTTTCCGAGGAGGAGGAGGAGGAGGAGGAGGAAGAAGGCAACATGAGCCCCCTGAGTGTCTGACATCTGAGAACTTGTAGGAAATCCGCAGTAGGGCCCTACGAAGGGACCTACGGAGGGCAGGAGGGCCCTTACCGCCGCTTCCTGCAGTTCCCTGAGCTGTTCCCCCTCTGCAGAGTCTCTGCTGCAGCTGTCTGAGTGTTTCAGGTGTTTGTGTCTCACTGTGAAACATCTGCACACACAGCAGAGATCACTGCATTCAAAAAGCTGAAGCTAAACCCCTGAAACATCCCGTCAGTCAAAACCTTCATCAACAAATGACATTAAAATATTAAATTACACCAAATATTTATGTATGTATTTATTTTTAGTCAACTTATTGAACATGTAAGGTAAAACAAACCAGAGGCGTAAATACAGACAGTGCAGGCGGTGTGGTTGCACTGGGGCCCATAGAGAGAGTGGGCCCTTTAGAGTAACTGCCTGTGTTCAAAGAACTCTCATTCAATTAAAAACATCAGCTCTATATTCCCTTAAAAAAAAGCAAATGTTGATGTTTAGTTTTTCTGTTTGTAAAAATTCCCATTAGCATCTACAACAAAATGATTCTGCTTATTATATTACTGTAAGTCAAATATTCTAAAAATATTCTAAAAATACTTTATCTTATTTTTTTAATTTGGTATTTTCTGTTATATACAGATATGCAGTGATGATTGCTGGGTAATATGTTCATGTGACGAGACAATATGTGCACGATAGCGTGCACGAGGGCCTGTCACTGATGCAAACACAAAATAAAACTTATAAGAAATAAAAACAGAAACAAACAGGATCCTCAGCAACAGGTGAGCAACTCAAATAATATTGTTCGTGTTCAAAAGGGTGAGAAGTTAGAAGCTTTTCTGGTCCTGCCCTCTAATTTATTATAGCCTATATTAATCATAGAAAATAAAAGTTTAATTTACAGCCTTATTCCAGTCGGCTTAAATAAATCAACCCTTTTTGACACAACCAGCACATGGGAGAAGTTTTCCTGGGAGGCTTTCTCCAAGAACTCCCTTTCTGATAGAAATCTATTCATTTTAACTCAAACAACTTCTTTTCTGATGCTAACTTCTGGTAGAAAGCCCTCAAGGACGATGCCTGTGCCTTAACTGAACCTCTGACATGAATGTCAGTCAGTCATTATTTAGACTGTGATATATTAAGGGTTATTAAGGGTTGTAAATCCCTACAATTTACTGTCTTTGATTTTCCATCTATAGGTATTAAGGGACAGCTTTCATGTTATATGGTCAGTATTTAAAAATATATTATCATTGCTGTTAATGCTTCAGTTGGTAAATTAAAGGTGTTTTAAGTGAGATATTTAATCTTGTGTTGTAACCCTTAAGATTAGATCTTTTTTTAAAAGAAAAACAATAACAAATTACATAAATATTTTACATACAACACACAACATACAGATGAACAGAAAATGTAAAAAAAAAAGAAAGAAAGGAAATGTACTTTACAAATGAATCAGTTAGATTTTATACTGTGCACAGAGTAATGCACTTAAAATACTGTGTTTTATATGTTTTGTGTGTTTCCTGTTTCAGTTTTAACTTCTTTAATGTGTCTTTGAGTACTTTGAAAAGTGTTCTAAAAATAAAATGTATTATTATTATTATTATTATTATTATATCTAATATTTGAAAAGATGTTTTTTGAAAGAGATATAATGTGACAATATAACATTTAAAATAACTCTGTATCGTTGTTAGCCACAACCCACAGCTGTGTGTGTGTGTGTGTGTGTGTGTGTGTGTGTGTGTGTGTGTGTGTGTGTGTGTTAGACAGCAGGGGGCAGCAGAGTTTCACAGTAAAACAAAGTTTCAAAGCTGCAGAAACTCAAACTCTTCCTCTGCATAACCCTCGTCCCTCAGCTGAGTCCAGTGAAGTCTCTACTTTTCATATCAGGTGTTTAATGTGATCACTGTGTTCGTCCTCTGAGGACAGACCAGGTTAATGAACTTATGATGGATATGAACCGTGCCTTGCTAGTGTTCTGACTACTCAAAGCTTTTTTTAAACACCATACAATATGCAGGGAAACATTCACACACACTCAGGAGCAATTTGGGGTTCATTGTCTTGCCTATGGAAACTTCATCATGCTGACTGCAGAGACCAGGGTCAAGCTGCTGATCTTCATGTTAGTGGTTGACCCACTCTGTCTCCAGAGCCACAGCAGATTGCTCTCTCTCCTTTTATGATTGAATCGTATCTTTTAAACTTCCCTCCATCTCTTTCTGTTGTACACCAGATGATAAAAGACAAAACTGGACTTCTTTGCGCTGCTTTTATGTTCCCATCGACAGATTGAGTCCTCCAGCAGAGGGAGCTGTTTCTCTATTGTCGCTCATCCCTCACCCTCATACCAGTTTCATCATCCCACATGACATCACTTCCCCCTGCAGTTCCTCACATTCAACTGGTATGGACAGGGTCCCCCTCATGACGCAACAGCCCTCTGAACTGTGTACACTAATACAAAGATCACACACACACACACACACACACACACACACACACACAGAGAGTGTCATACCAGTGTTAAGTTTCTGGAAAATAACTGACCAGCAGTTCAGCTCTGGAGAGCCTCCCTCGCCCACAGATTGATCCAAATATCCAGGACACACAAGGATACATGTGCAGTAAATGTATACATTTATAACTGAGCAGCTTTTTTTATTTTATATTTTTACCGTCACACTATTTATTTTGAAATTAAAACTTTTGTCAGAATTTTATACTGTTATTTATTAAAAAAAAAAAAAAGTCAGACTATGGCTCCCTGAAACATTTTTTTCCAGCTTAAAAATGCCCAGCTGGGAGCATTAGAGGGTGCTTTGAAGGGGCCACCAATTTCAGCTGAAACACTTTGGTTGCTATGATACGAAATATCTGTGGAAGTAAACCTGAGTTTCCATCACAATCCATCAGACAGTTGTGAACCTCATGATGGTGCCAGAGGAAATCAGAGGATCACCAGTCAGTAGGCTTCACAGCACTTGTTGACACATACCAGCAAAGCTAAAAACTAAATGTTCATATTGCAGTCACATACATGTCTTTGCCAGGTCAACAAGAATTTTTGCCCCTCTGACCTTTTCCACATACAGTGTGGTGGAGCGTAGCAGTCATGTGGAGGAAGTGATGCCACTGCTTAAAGCCCCATGTTACGTCATAAAGTCATCCTGCTGACACACAGCGGGGCATTCACTGACCTCTGGACCTCTCAGTGTCACAACACTGTGTCCACATGATGGAGTGAAACCCCAGAAAAAGTGCTCACATCATGTTCAATTCTCAGCCTGAACACATTGGCATCTGTGGGGAAACATTTACTGTATGTTTAAACAACTTTTATAGCATTGTAACACAAAATAACAAAACACTGAAACAGGCACACTGTAGCAAAGGTGTATGACTGTAACACACCTCAGCTCACTTTCTGCTCTCAGCTTTTTTTTAACAGATGTTCCGTTTGTGGCAATGATGAAAAACAATGGTTATAAATAGACGCAGAGGAACAAAATGCGATCGACACTTACAGCAGCAGCAGCAGAGGGAATTCAGCAGAATTGTGTGAAACGTTGAAGACTCAGATTACAACATGGATTCAGCCACTGAAATATTTGCATGTTGGTACAAAACATATGTGGCTGTCTGTGTTTGAATGAGCTCGTATCTTTTACTTTGTTCAGTTTTGTCTTTACATGATTTTTAGATTTGTCTTTATTGATGAACTCAACAAAACAAGAGAAAGATCTAAATCCAGCAAATCCAAATTATTACATCTATAGATATCCACCAACTGCCGTTTCATTGATTTAAATGTTCTCCACATAATTACTCTGTCCTGCATGTGAACAAACTGACTGCACAGGACCTAAAATGGAGGCAAGCTCCTGGCCTTTCCATTGACACCTCACTTGAGCCAAAAGGAGCTTCTAGTGCTGTCGTTATGACATCGACAGCCAACCAGGGCCTGAGCTTAAAGAGGAACTAATGTTTTTTCAACCTGGGCCCTATTTTCTGATCTACTTTTGCCTAAATTAGTGATAGGATGTTCAATATGTGACATTTCTCCAGTACGAAGCTAGGGCTGAAAATAATAATAATAATAGGGCACTCAGACAGCGTCAAACAACGTCAAAATACGTCCACTAAAAGTGCATTTTTTTCACACAGATAGGCTAGGATTGTTAGTATAATTATCTGACGACATAACGGAAAGGAGAAATGAACGTCTGTGTTTACCTTTAGCTGGATTCAGACATGTTCCGAAATGAAATCTTCTTCTTTGGTGTTTTACGGCAGTTGGTCTGCAGAAAGTTACCGCTGGAGTGACCTTACAAACGCTAGGAGTTACTCTGTCTGGAGTTGTCATGCCTGAATTTTTACCTGATTTTGACCAACTGTAAGGTCACTCCAGCGGTCACTTCCTGCAACAACTCAAATCTTGCGAGACCAACTGCCGTAGAACACCAAAGAAGAAGGAGAATCTTGTGAGACGTGAGATTTCAGAGCCAGACTTTCACTCTCTGAGTGAGTGTTTTGATTTGCCACAACAAACATGTCCGAATTTTTACCCGATTTTGACCAACTGGATCTGGATGAGCCATTTGAATTTGATTATGCCGATTATTTATTTGAACATGGAGTACACGGACGTACACGGAAGCAGAGCTCATTGAAACTGAAGAGCGGACGAGGAGAGAGAGGGAGCAGCAACAGGCAGAGGAACATGTCTGAATCCAGCTAAAGGTAAACACACACGTTCATTTCTCCTTTCTGTTATGTTGTCAGATAGGGCCCAGTTTTAAAAAACATTAGTTCCCCTTTAAGACAGTATGTCGCCGAGGTTTATGGGTCTTGTAGTCAATGACTCTCCAAAAGTCCACAGCAGATGTGAACTCCGCCGGGCCCCACAGGCTGTTATACTTGTACAGAAATGATAAACAAATGTCTGCTCTGCTGTCTTGAGGGAAAAGAACAGTCCTTGTAATCAATTCAGGTTTTCTACAAGTGTTTTATATCCAATAAGCTCCTAAACAGACCCACAATCACACATTTAGTGTTTAGCGCCTGGACAAATCCTCAGAAAAACATTTGTTAAATGTTTATTTCCTGTGATATTGTTATCTACAGTGGATGTGGACTATGTGAGGCTTCTTGATGTGGTCTCATGTGTTTTCCAGTTAATACCTCAGTCATCTGCTGCATGAGCATCAGGA